GAACTTTGGCCTGATTCGTGTTTTTCATGGATCTGAATTCGAGCTGTAACTGTCTCAGTGTGTGAACTCTGTCTCAGGATCAGGGACCATCAACAATCTGAGGCATCGAACCGTCACACTCATTTAAGTTGATGTTCACACAGATGATCTTTAAACTAGTTTGAATCACAGCTGTGTCCCTGTTTAAAAAACAATCAGACGTCTGGTTACACAGTTTTTAAAATACTTCTACTGACTTGTTTATGTATTTATAAGTTATGTCACATGTCAAATGAATGTTTTCTAAACCCCTCCCCTTAATAGCAGCTGTCCAATCACAGCTTAGCAACAGAAAGTGCTGACAGCAGGTGTGTAGTGTTGCAGTTGTTCACCTGTTGAAGTGGTGGCGCTGTAGAGATACAGTCTTTCACTGAGTTTAGGGTTAGCATTCGTTTGTTGACACTGAGAGTTAGCATGTTTTATCTAGCTATATGATGTTTCAGAAAAAGCTTAGCACATGCTAACTGAGGCTAATGTTTGCAGCTGTGTGGTGAGATATGGAATCAGTCAGGTCAACATGCTAATTCGCTAGCTAGCTAAAATGTTTCCAGGTGTCATTTCATTAGTTTCTGTTATAATGAGAAGCTGTTTTTTTACCTGCATCTGAAATGATGAAGTCATTGTTATAAACATTAAGGTCCAATCGTTAAGTGACGTAGCGTGATAAAACTTTACTGTTAGCTCACATGTTGGATAACAAATTAAGATGTTAGTCTGAAGGATCAATTAAAATCATCACCAGAATGAATTTTAACATTTGCTTACGTGGTAGCATATACGGAGCGAACCCTGCGAGCTAGTACGGGCAGCCAACTCGAGCCGCGCTGCTCCAATCATGACATACATCATGTGACACACCTCATTCTCCACAATCATCTATTAGACACACCCACCTTATTAGGCAGCCTATTTAAGCAGAGAGACATTTCCCATCAACCCCTTTGCTCACACTGCTGCTGCAGTATCAGTACCAGTTGCTTCAGGCCCTCCACCACCCCAGCAACCACCTGTAGCCTCTGGGGGGGGAGTTACAAGTATTTGCTCGTCACTCCCATCACATCTGTGTCATCACATCGGGGGAGTGATTGAGTCGGAGCCGAGACGCCAAACACAAACTATGTTCTAATGCTGCAAGAAACAGTCGACCGAGTGACTGAATTAGCCTCATGTACATGTGTTTCTAAATTATGTCATAAAACGAACCAACACTTGTTGGTTGATTCTCACCTGTGCAGGTGTTTTAGCTGTTAGCTAGAATATTCGTGTTTATTCAATGTCAAAATAAAATATATTTACCTTTATCAGATATGAAACTTTGTCACTGAG